TTTCGTGCCGCCAAGCCTTCTGTGTGCCGATGACGAGCGTGTATGAAATCTAAACGGCCTTGCCCCTTGTGGGATGGCGGCAGGCCTCTGGGCAATTGAAAAGGCGTATTCAAAGGCCTTGCTTTCCCCTGGCGCAAGCTGCATGTCAACGAAACAGGATCGACTGCGGCGTAGAGAGGAGCGGCACAGACTTGGAGCTCGCGATGCCGCGCATGTCCTTCATGCTGCTGAGCTCCCCAGTTCCGAGAAGGTCGCCAAGGGAGCTGCTTATACTCCCCCATCCGAAGCTGCGACGAAGACCGCTGTCGCGCCTGGAAGAAGTCTCGACGCCAATCACGCCGCCCCCTTGTCCACCAAGAACGGCTTTTCGCTTAACTTGCTCAAAAGGCGCCAGGTTGATGAGTGAACCATCCAGGGTGAAGGAACCTTGAACCTGAGCATACGCCATCATAATGGTTTCGGGTCCTTTCGGCTGTTGCAGTGAGCTGAAATTGGAACTTCGTCTGAGATGTGAAGGCCTTGGCTGGTGCTGACCACGAAGCGGTTGCTGGTGGGCGGGGTACTCCGAGATGAGCGTTTCCGAAGAGTGATTGCTCGCCGCGTAGAACTCCCCGCTACTTCTTGGTGTTCCTCCCATGCTTGTCGAGGAAAGGATTCGCATTGCTGGGGTGGTCGCATGCATGTGTGAGTGGTCAGGAGCCCCATGAGAGCCGTCCTTCGTCCGGAATGCCGAAATTGATTCGTTCTTGGGGCTCAGAAAGCTGTCGTCAGTGGGATTTAATGGGCTGTTATGAGATTCGGATAATGGCGAGGGCGCCATTGGAAACTTGAATTCGGGCATATTACTAGAAGGTGACCGTGACTGTCGGAAAGGGCCGCTGATGGCGGGAGTATTCGGCATGGTTGATGGACCTGGAGACCGGGGGTGTCGATCGGACATCTGTGTAGATTTGAACATCGGAGAGCTGACCTGCCGCGGTGATGCTGTCAAGCGGTCAGGCGTTTGTTCACTGACAACAATGGGAGGAAGCAATACCTGACTGGGGCCCAGAGATCCCGAGGCCAGCCCGGGGCATAATGTGCAAGCTGTGAGCCCGCGCATGCCCCCTTCCGGGCCTTTGTATCCTGGCGAACGAAGCGTTGCTTTGCGCATCATCGGGAGCTGTATTGGCCGATCCAATGGAGACGATGGAGATGGACCGTCGATGACTGTTGCCTTGGTTGTCGCTAGATTTCGGAGGGTGCGGTGGGGGTTGTGGCCACACGATCGAGCCAGAACGGCTCCTTGAGAAGGCGGCCGGTGCACTTAGGGAAAGGGTAGAACGGTGGCCGCGAGAGGGACCAGCCGTTGACGGGGTCGGTGGGGTCGAGCCGGTGATGGGCTTCCCACGATGCAGCGGGGTGGCATATCGGGGACGATCGGCGACATTTGCCTGCCGTTGGGTCTGCTTATGTTGACTGGAATCGGCGGCAACGTTCTTGAAGGTGATGGTGCACTTGATCTCCTCGCCAGCAAAGACAGTCTGGTCGTCCCAGCGAATGAAGACGCGGATGTTGCTGGAGCTGTCCGAGACCATTGTGGCGCGCGTTGGGTCTTGCCGAGGACAATTAGGAGAGATCGGAAGGGTATCGATCAGCTAGGTCCTATGGCATGGCCAGCTTGTACCATTGTCGCCGTTCGTTGTTTGGGGTTGACACAAGGCGTCCTTCTGGATGATGAGAGCTGGAGCGAACGTCATGCTCCGAGGTGACAGGTCGAGGTTGAGGCTTCCAGAGACGTAGTGACTGGCTGGGGGCGGAGGGTAGCGGAGCCCAGCCAGTTCCAAGGGTTCCTAGGCCGAGACCAGCTAGTTCACATTCTCAGGGGCGTCGATGACTCAGCTAGGCTGACTGCATCAGGAACACAGCATACATGGTCCAAGCAGTATCGGAACTGCTCATCATCCTTTGGATGTGATTTCCGTCATTTTCACGGTACCAGAATCGGCATCAACGGTGTTTCTACGCCTCGCGAGAACTGCAGAACCAATGCGTCGAGCACATGGCCACTGCCGGGCCCTACTTAGCAACCTGGCTTCCGACACCTGTGACTCAGGGCAGACAGCTACTGAGACAGCGCTTTGTACACTTCCACCTCAACCTGAGCCCACAAGTTGAGGACTGGGCCATCAGCAAACGGAAGAATCTGAGTGCAAACGAATCCTGCCACCCCTTTCTCTCTATCACACCACCACCATAGGTTGGCAAGGCCAGCCCACTGCACAGTTGTTGGCGATCGACCAGTGGCGCTGCTGTTTGCTTGCATGAAAGTCAACCCCCAACCCTGAGGTGCATTATCCTGGACAGGGTAGAGTTCTGAGACCGGGTTCGTGAGATCGGGTTTCGACGCTGGAATGCCTTGTCGAGCGTAGTCGGGAAATGAGGACACCTGGTTCCGGAACATTTCTTCAACCGTTTCTTTACGGAGTATCTGGGAGCCGGTTATGGGGCAGGTCCCATTATTTAGAAGAACAGCGAGAACCTCTGGCGAAATAAGTCAGCCATCAAGCACAAGGCCAGTCTATCACGCAAGAGGCGAGTCACAGTGGACTCGAGCGCTTACTGGTGTATTCTTGAGGCTTCGCGAACAGACCAGCGCCACCACTGTTGAAGACTGACGCTATCTCTTTCTCGTTGCCTAGGTCCACCACGAGTGGGCGGCGCAGTAGGTGATCTCTGGGACGAAGGGTGCCGTCCGGATCTCGTGCATGCATGTGTGCCAACTTGGCCCGCATGTCTTCGTTTGGAAACATCGATATGTTCTTCAAGCCAAGTGGCTGAAACACGTGCTTCTGCAGGTAGGTGTTCAGAGTATCCCCTGTGCGGCGTTCAAGGGCAATACCAGCCCAGTCAATACCGACCTGGAGAATGGTCAGAGTGACTAGGGATAGGGGTTCTAGGCACGAAGGGGCTCAATAACTTACACCATACTCCCATCCCTCTCCTGGCTGGAACAGGAGCGGTTGAGTGACATCCTCTATGCGGCTCGAGAACTCGTCAATTCCTGCGGGGAAAGACCAGTCTCTCAGCCTTTCGTTAAAAAATGTGTAGCCGAAGCCCGCGGTATGGCTTAAAAGCATGCGTAAGGTGATGCGGTTTTTCTTTCCCTCCAGCACACCGTCAGATCGGAGAACCTTGAGGTCCTTCAACTCGGGACAGAGATTTTCGATTTGTTCTCCATCGTCCAGTGATAAAAGACCTTGTTCCACCAGTTGCATACACGCCACACCTGTCAACATTTTGGTGCATGAGGCTATCCAGAAGATGTTATCAAGAGTCATGGGTTGCTCGGAGGTGATTCCCTGTTTGCCTGCCGAATGTGCGAAGAGATCCTTTCCATCCTTGCCAACGACAACGACTGTAACCCCAGGAATGCCTTTCTTCTGATCGGCTACCGAATCGTCCACTAAGGCTCGAAGCCGGTCGAGAGACTGGTCGCTCAGAGGCATTATGAATTCGATGTCCTTGGCGATGGAGGAATCAGGCAATATGGAGGCCACTGGCCGAAATTCTCTGATGAGTGCACTAGGTCGTCCTTACCTCCTAGGGAGGTTCCGGTCACTGGTTTTGTGCTGCGCGTGGGAACTGTGAGACTTGGGCAGGAGTGGATATCAGGCGGAGGCCATGGCCATACTTTAAGCATTTCGGGCCAAAGGGGACACTGGTCGGCCGACGCATGGAATTCCATATCCCGATTGTGTCATTGCCGCCCAATCGAGGAAGCGAACGATCAGCAGACATCAAGATGAGGGGCAGTATTGTCTCATCCAGTGAACCTTGAGCTCAAATGCCGGGGTTGCGGGGCCACCGCATGGAGCTTGGACATCGCGTAAAATCACTAATCCCTTTCGGCTTGGTTGACAAGCCACCGGACAAACGGCAGCAGGCCACCTACCGTTCGTTCGTATGACCAGGACCTTCGGCAGTTGAAATGTTCATGAGGACCTTCGGGGGTCTGCCAATAAAGTCTTCATCGCGTTGCTTTACCTCGGCGGTTGCTGCATAGCGTACCTCGAGGTGTTGTAGACTAACCGCCCGACTTTCTGGCACAATGACCCACCCCAGACCTCTGTTGACTTTGAGGTGGGGAACCAAGAAAGAAGCTTGCTATGTTTGTATGGATACCAGGAAGCTATGTGCACATTGCACTCTTCTTCGCTCATGTGCTCTGAAGGGCGACCTTCATCGAAACTGAACAGAAGCAGTATGGAATGACAAGAAGATTGTGAGAGTTGGCTTACAACCTGCCGAACCTGGAAAGTTACCTCGACGTCCACGGCTCATGTGAGATTTTGAGGAAGAAAATGTGGGAAATCAACCAGTCGTCCAACCTCTGACGCTGGTAAGTTCGGTGCGAAACAGGGCAGCTGTATTACGCATGTATTCGGTTTATATAGGTAGGTACCTAGGTACAGCGAGCTGCCTATCTTAACTTCTGGGAAGGATTACCACCAGAAGCTGCTGCCTTCGGAGTCTTTCACCTTGTATCTGGAAGGCAGCTTTTGCAGCCCAGGTAAGTTCGTCGGTAGGTACCTCCCTAGGTAGTTTCTGTGCCTTCAGACTTGTAAGGTCCACCAAACGGACCTCAACCTTGGGTTTTTCGGCACATAACTCACTACTAGGGATTGTTCCTCCTATTGATTGTTCCCTACTGCCGCATCATCAGATTCCCTGAGCCACGCATCTTTGGACATCCAAGTGCCCCCGCCTGGATTCGAATCAGTTCCTGATACCAAAGTTCTCTTACACGCCGTGAACGAGAATCAGACGACAAGATGAGACACCAAGACTTACCGAGCATCAATGTTGCTGTTCGTAAGTGGCAAGACAACAGTGCCCTCAACAGCTTCATAGCTAATGGAACATACCCTCAGGTCTAATGGGGGACTATGGAGATGCCCACGAGCACCCCGACCCGAACCCCCACCTCGGTTACAAAGGTTCGACCGATGGCCGCGCGCAGCGGGAGATGTCCACCTTCATCGAAAGTAAGGACGACAATGGTTTCGAGATCGTCATTTCAGTAGAAGATGATCCTTCCCTGGACGAGTGGATTTATGATGAATTCTGCCTGGAATTTCAACTTCTCGTCGACGGCAGTCACATGGGTAAGCGAAACGTGAAGGCTTGCAACCTGCGACGCAATGGTAGAAGCTACACATATACTACACAGTTCATTGGCGCCAAAGGGCCCGGGCGTGACCCTTACCAGAAAGAGCTTCGAAGGTTTGTATTCTCTTCGCTCACCACCGGTAAGTGTAGCCGCACCACCTTCAAGTTGGTGACTTCCAGATCTGACCTATGTTCAGTCATTGATGAGACGTCCCCTGAAGAAATCGCTCTGTCAAAGGCACTTGGAACCATTGAGATAGTCGTTCGGTGGGTAGAATTTACAGGCTTTATCTCCGGTACCAGGGACCGACAGCAAGACGGTCGCCACAACACGTATAAGCAGACGGATCACAGGATCAGTACCAGCGGGTATCCGTATTCCGAGATCTCCGAAGAAGCTCTGAAAGGAAGAGCACTCTCGCACAGTACATCGTCAGTGGCATTGTCTCGCTGGACAGTCTTACGTTGCTAATGACTTCATAGCTATGCCATACCGGAGGACATTACGGGCCATGGGGACGGAAGGCGTCCTCGGACTCGAATCGTGGATCGTGGCCGCCCGGTGATGTCTTACCTATTCAAGTACCGATCCATGGGTAAGTTGCAACACGACATCCATGAAGCTTCAATTGACTTTCCCCCCCTAGAGGGCCTCAAGAAGGAAGGAGTCGTGCAACGAACTCCTCCCCCCGACTACGATGACGCAGTTCCGAAGATGGAGTCACTACCACAGCACGAGATTGAACGTCTAGCTCGCGTAAAGCTGATACAGATGAAGGTTTGTCAAGGGAAAATCGACCAGGTCAAGTACAAAAGCCTGCTGAGCGATACTGACTGGCTTTCCAGCGAGACCATGACAGACAACGCGAGCCGCTGACGAATTTGGGAACCAACGAGGCGGCGCGGCGCGGCGGCAAACGTCACATTGACGAAGTATACAGCCTGAATGAGGAGGTTGAAGGAGGTCGACCTAGAAAGATCTTTCGCATGGACCCCTCGATACCCGTCATTGACTTGACCGACGAATGAAGGCGGCCACCAGACTACCTTGTTTTCCTCAACAGGTGTGTGCAACGAGCAGTTGTATGCGCCGAAAATCATGCCGTCGGCAACTTGAGCTGACAGCAAGCGAGCACTGCGGGAATGTCAGTGTTGTAGTCGGGTCGACTTGGCTTTTTTCCTGTCTTCCTCGGCCCTGTGGCTCTATCAGGACCTCCATGCGTTTTTCCAAACTTTCTTTTTTTTCTAAACAGTGTGCGGCAGGAAGGATTCCCAACACAAGACGATTGCAGGAATGTGGAGATAACATAGAAACGGGCGTTTGAAGATGTTGACAGGGTTGGTTGAGAACAGAGGAAACATACTCTCCATGTGATGCCTACAAGCACCGCTTCGTGTGTCGTCCTTCACGATGCAGGCAGGGGAGAAGGGGCTAAGTGCAATGAATGCCGGTCGTGATGACCGTTACTCTAAATCTGGGACTAATCGTTTATATGTGTTGTATGACAGCTTTTGGCTTTTACCTAGGTAATGTGAACCCTACCTTTCAAAGCCGCGAGAGGGTGGGAGTTGGGTTCGTTGACGTTGCTGTGCAATTGTTTCCACGACGTTGATGGCAGTTGCTCGAAGCGACAAGTGCGTTATTGAGGCTCTGGAGACGTCTCAGACACAACTAGCTGTCGCAGAATTGCATGACGGCATGTACAGTGCCCGGATATCCTGTGGTATCGCCATGTTGATTGCTGCACGTCTGACAATGTACCATCGAAGTCCAAGCCATCTTCGACCACAGAGTCCAGAAGGTGATTGTTGGTATGGTTTGTGTACTGCGACTGAGGGATGTGTAGGTGCCTTATCTATCTGGCTTCCACGCCACCTACATACCTATGCGGCATACTGATCAGGTCTCCCTGGTAGGTACATACAGCACTGAGCGAAGGCATTAGTGGTTGCCTAGCCGCACCGTGAGGGGTGCCTGAGAACCCCGCCCATCAAAAACGTGGTGCCCGAGGTGCATCTTGGATGGCAGGTTATACCCACCTCAAAGAAGCCCACGATTCCTCATCAGCGCTTGCCAAATACGTCTTTCTCATGCCGCCTTGACGTATCCACCACTGACATACTTCGAGATCATCCAGACGGCCAAAGACTTGGAATCCCACGTTGGAACCATGCCCATCGATCGTGAAGTCCCAGGCATCGATGCCTGGGTCGAAGTCAACGGCCAGAGAGCAGAGGCTTACGACGACGACGACGTGTCCTCCCGAGAAGTGAACGACTTGCCGGCTAGACATCAGATCTTCAAGTACATCGAATCCATCGATAATGCATCCTTTACCGTTCAGGTCCATATGAGTAGAGAGGTCACCCAGCATGCCCTACCACCGTGCGACACTGTAATTGGGGAGCTCTTCGTAGATGGAAAACATGTTTCTTCCAAGTGCGCCTCAGTTCGGCCAGGCCAGGGAACTATTGACAGGCTTCGATTTGACGGCAAGAAAGTCGAGTCGTGCTCTCGTCCTGGATATGTCCACCTTCTCAAGTTGGTCTTCTCTGCCGTGTCGACAGGTATGTGACGACGTCCACTGTTGGCACAGCCATGCTGGCCCTCGTCTGGCGGTCAGGGCGGCCGCTTCGATGCGGTCGTTTTCGAGACTAATCCAGCTCCAGTGGACGACACGGATACGGCGCGCATTGCGAGTGACCTTGAGGCAGCGAAGCATTTGGGACTTATACAGCTGCGCTTCTTCGCTGGTGTCGACATAGGCGATACGATGGCGCAGAGGCCTGATTCGACGATTCCTATCAATACGTCGGAGTTGTCTGAGAAATCCCTGAAGGGCAAAGCTATCTCCCATGGCACATCGTGAGTCTTTTCAACGCATGTTCCAGCGAACTGAGGACTGAAATTTGGGAGATTTTCTCATGGGGCGGATTTGCCAGCGAGCCGCCATGTCATGGTCGACTATGTGCTCGGCCGTCAAGCCTTTGCTGTGATCAACTTCAAATACCGATCTCGAAGTGTGTATCTCCACGACGCAGATATTGGTACTTGAAAACGTTGCTGACATAGAATCAAGGGGCTCTTCAGCAGGAGATGATCCTTCCCCGCACTCCATCACCCGATCCAGAACTGCAAGTTCTCGAGGGCATGTCGACCGAGCAGGTCAGGCGGTTAGCAGCTCAACATCTCCACTCATTGCATGTAAGTCTCATAGACGGCTAACTTATTTGCACAAATGACGGAGCCTCCTGCTTTGTCTCGGGAAGCATCACATGCCAAGCAGCAAGCTGACCTGGTACAGAGGCCGAGCCGGGTTAAAGAAGAGAACCAAGCGGTGGCGAAGACCGAGCAAAAGCCCTCCGTCAAGCGTGAGAGAGACGAAGTCGACCTTACCATGCCGCCATCCCAGCGCGAGTGGAAATACACCAAAACAGCGAACGGAGCGAGGGCAGTAGACCTCACCGAAGATGACGACTGAACAATCATGTTCAACCTCGTTACGTCTTGCTGTGTGCCTTGATGATACTTCTAGAGATTTTGTAAGGCGTTTTCTTTTCGCTATACCCACAACAGTAGCGGTTCTCTTCGGCTGGCCGCGAGTGAACTTTGCGTGTACGGACTGGTCTTTTCTACTTAATTCATGGGCGTCCATGTCATCAAAGTACATGAGAGTAATCATTATCATTATCAACAAGCCAGAACCCAAGGACTCTGTCAATTTAGGATTCTGCTGCTTGTTTCGCGTCAGCCTGTTCATCCTGCAAGACCCGTACCGCAATCTCTGCAGCTTTCGTCTCGGCCTCATCTCGAGCGACCCCGTCATCTACCTCTGCAACACAGCGATCCCCGATCATGACCTTGCAGGCATATTTCCTTTTTGCACTCTGCAGGCCGGCTGCGTCCTCGGGCAAAGTGAGGAGATATTTGACTGTCCGGTGACTAGCGATCTCTCCCAGCTCTGATTTCGGATGCAGCACATGAACGTCGTCCTTTGCCAGCCGGGACAGCACCGGCAGAATGCCAAGTCGTTCCGTCACACGAACGCACGCTCTCATGTCCCCTGAATCGACCCAGACGGCACCCAGTACAGCTTCGACCATATCGGATAAGAACTTCGCGGGATGTAAGCGGGCGAGAAGAGACCAGGGGTAGCTTGACCCATGTCCCAGAGCGTGAATGATCTGCCCTCGGAGATCGGCATGAGCGCCGGCAGCTTTGGTCTGCTGCTGCACAACCTCTATTGAGGAGTGGCGCATAAACTTCCAAAGGGGGATTTTCCGGCGTGTCCGTTTGAGCTTCTGTTCCATCCCGGCAGGGTTCTGAGGATTGAGGTCCGTATCAGAAGGAGAAAAGTTGACATCAATAATCACCTCGTCTTCCTCGGCATGGCTCTCGAGTGCAAGGAATCCTAGAAGATCGCCGTTGACCGAAGCAGTCTTGAGGAGATGCATCCTGTCGTGCGAAAGGTTAAGGGGAAACAGATGGGACACCACAATGTCGTCCAGAATGGCATCGCCTAAGAATTCGAGACGTTCGAGGCAGCCATTCACATGCCCGGCAGTGAAGGAGGCATGCGTGATCGATTCAATCAGGAGAATCTTCTTCGTGAATGTGTAGTCGATCAGCTCTTCCAGCGGAACAAGCATTGGCGGCAAAGACACATCAGGGGGCGCCAAACTGTGAAGGATCTCCTGACAAGCTGGCAACAGTTTCCATTCGAGCTCCCTCAGGAAGATCGAAATGCACCCAATTGCCTTTGCGAGGCCACCGTCAATGTATGCGGCCCCTATGAGTGCTTCCACAACATCGGCGAGCGTTTTAGTCGATATTTCACGGGGTCCCGAGTCGCGAGCACCTGTTTCCAACATGCCGTTGACGTAGATAGGCCTCCACGTGCGACAAGTGAAGTTTTCAGTTAGAACAAATTTGTCAAGGCCAGCATCCAGTGCAGCCCTACACAATCTTGAGTTCGAAACTAAGCCATCTTTCAGGCATGATAAGTAGCCCTCCGGCCAGTCAGGGTCTAAGCTTGTGTCAGCTGCGGCAACGTATGACAGAGTGTAAGGAGGGCAAACGCACGCAGAGCGGCAGCATTGACCGTGGTGCAAAGCTTGAGGATAGAGTCACCCAAAAACTCAAGACGCTCGTAGTTTGTGGCCTCCAAGGAACCCTTAGTGCTGATGGCCGTCAGGACGAGAGAGGGATCTGAGAAATTGAGGTCACGAAGTAGGCTCGAGGAAAGCTGTTCTGCAACCAGTCGAACCTCGACAATGTGTGAAATGGAAGGGATCAACGCCCCAAAGTAAGCATGATCCAGTGGGATCGTGTCAATTTTCGCCCACGGTGCCGGATAAACCCTCGCATATGGCTTCGTATTTGTCGCCTGTGGCAGTGAATCGTTAACGCTCTTTTGGTGCAGGAGGGCCGGGTAGCGCGGCCACTTTCTAAGAGCCAAGTAAGGAATGTTGTTGGGTGCATCTTGGAAGCCTGGAGAGTCCCCGATGCGCCGGAAAGGTCGCTGAATAAGTTCAAGTGACGGCTTGCTGTTGAGAAAGTGGCCGTACACATACGGGCATCCTGACTCGTCCCGTACCAGGTACAGCATTTCCTTTCGGTCGGCATCTGTGGTTGTGAAGCCCCGTGCACTTAACTGGTTGATATGCAGTTCGCCATCCTGTGAAGCGAAGCTGATCACCTGTTGCTGGCCATGAGCAATGTCCCAGCGATGGCCAAAGTGGAGTGCAAGCAGCACTGAAGAATGATCAGGCACTTCAAGCTTTTCCTTTCGTTCTTGTGGGCCAAAATCCAGAAGCCATGGTCCTTCGTGATCGAAGTACACTGGCGTGGAAGGCAGTGCCGGCAATGCTACCGGCATGCTCATGATATACGTTCCTCGCGTCAATCCCGTCGCATCTTGGAGGCGTACTGGAGTTAACCAGATTTCAGTACTCGTGATCCAGGCCTGGGCAATACTAAGCCAGACGTTCAAGAGGCCATTGACCTGCAAGGTTGCTACTCGAGGTTCGTTTGCGGGTACGATGTCTTTGGCCGTGAGTGGAAGCATGTGTTCGTTGACCAGTCCCGCGTCGTAAAGAGCCAGGTATGCCTGAAAAGCGGCGTCTTTTGAGGCCTGATGCTCCGACTTCCAGCTTCGCCGACTCTCAGCATGACGGACGGCAGCTGGAATATAACTCGGCAATAGTACCGTGACCCTCAGAGAAGGAGGTTCTTCGTCGTCTACCACGCGGGGTATGTATTCGGGCCTCTTGTCTATAAACTCCCCAGGAGAGAGTTGCCCACAGAAGTGGCTGAGATGCGCTTTGGCGTTCTCGAAGTCGAGCCTGGCATTGGTACTCTCGACAATGTACTCTTCGTACTCTGTAGACTCGGATGCTTCGATTTGCTCCATTATTCGTATTTCGCGCCGTTCTTTCTCGTAGTGTGTCCTCATTGTCGCTTCCATGCTTTCCCAGTCCTGAGGCACGTGGCCTGTCCCGGGGAGAAGAACCACAAGGCTAGAATCCTTCTTCCGGGCTCGGCCGCGCCGCTGGACAAAGGCTTTGAGATTTTCGGGCTCATCGAAACAGATCACGAGGTTGCAGGCAGGAACGTCGATGCCCTCTTCAAGCACACTTGTGGCGATGAGCAAATTGAGGTGGCCAGATCTGAACTGGAGAAGGGGCTCCGTCTCGTGGGCTGCTCGAGACAGATCCCACATATCTTTCTTCCGTACCAGATGATTGGAAGTACCGACAACAACCCCAACGCTCGAGTACATATTCGGTGTCAGTGGATGCGACTCAATCACGTGTGCAAGCATCGCCGCAGTTGATCGCTCTTTGACAAATATGATCCCAGCAGTACCATCGGTGGCTTTAGATGACATATGTTCTATGAGCATCATGAATTTGTTCGATGTGTTATGAGTACTTAGCATGCTGACTTGCGGCTCGCTGATACTTATTTGTCGAAGGATGTTGGCCAGATACTGCTTTTCTTCGGTTTTCCATTGATTCATGCGGTGATCACTTGCTTCAGTGATTGCCAGAAAATCCGAGATAACCTTCCAAATGTAGTATTCGGCTGCCCAGGGCCCGAGATCTCGCAGGACTCGCAAGCTTTGGTTAAAGAAAGACTTCATTTGTTGTTGTGAATATGTTTCGTGGCTTGTAAGGACCTTGATGAGCTCACGTCGTGCTCGATCAGTGCCTTTGTCTCTTAGATGGAGAATGAATGGATCTTGCCTGATGTCCATATTTCTGCATGCCTCGCGAAGACTTAATATACTGACTGGCGTGGGCCCACCCTTGGCATCTGTCGTTTCGTAATGAACATAACTGACCGTGGGCCTTTTGACATGGGTCATCAAGTCATCTCGGTGCAATCTGGGCGTAACGCAAACCGAGTCCAGTGTCCGTTCCAGTGCTTCAAGGCCTTCGAGCCTAGATCGCATTATGGGGCTTGCGGTCAGTCCTAAGACGTGAGGAACCCAGAGTGCCGATTGTTTGCGTGGGTGATAGAAATTCATCATGATCATTCTCTCAGCGCTTTTCCCCGTAGAGTGATGCACTACACCATTGTCAGGGCCAAAACTCTTGATAAATTGCGGTGATCGAATACCTTCATCAAAGACAAGC